ATATAAAACTTTTATTTTTTTTGTCGTGGTGGACCTTCCGCTGGAAACACCCATATACTTTATATTTTGACTTCAGCGCCAATTCAAGGTCACTTTTTTGGAACTCTATGACTCATTATGTTTTAACTACATACGCCAAATTTTAACCAAATCGGACCATAAATACAGGTTTTCAAAATACCTAGACCCTGGCGCCACGTAGCGAGATAATTTTTTTGCAAAAAAGTGTCCTGCCTACATAAGCAGTATATAATGTAAACAAGTAATTTTTAAGCAAAAAACAAAACCGACTCATGATCTGTTAACTGTGAGGTAACACCTTTTCTTTAAAAAAAGAATTATAGAAATCGGTTAGGAAGGGTCAAAGTTATGCGGTGCAATAAAAAAAATAAAATAAAATAAAAAGTCCAAGTTCTGGCAGAGCCGAACATTAAATACACGGCGCAAGTATTAAATATATGTTTTTTGCCTTTCCGAAAACTACCGCTACATGGTAAGCAGGGGTGGTTTTACCCCTATTTTAAACATCTTCGATAGAACGTTCAGTTAGAAATAATGACATAAACTTCTATAGTCATAATTGAGCGGTATCACACCCATTTGCCAAAATTCCATAATAATGTGACTTCTTTTCAAGCGAGTATCAATTATGAGTAAATTAGCGTGCCTGAATTCAGAAATATCGAAGTTTCAAGCATTTCTGAAATTTACCGTTGAAGAAAAGTGACCGTAGTTTTAATCCGATTTCAATAATTTTCAACGTTTTGCTTTAATGTGGCAAGCACAATAACCATACTGAATTTGGTACAAATTGGTATAACGGTTACCGATATACATATATCTGATCATAAGTGGACGTGGCTACGCCCATTTTCCAAAAATTTATTATTTATAATCTTATTTTTCGTCTGAAATTTTTTGTAAATAGGTATTAATTTTGAGTGAATAATCTTCAGTAGTTCCTAAAATATAAATTTCTTATTTCTGAAAACTACCGTTATATGGGAGGTAGGCGTGGTTATTGTCCGATTTTGCCCATTTTCAATAATATCCGTCCTACGCCTAAAAGAAGTAAAAGTACCAAGTTTCGTTAAGATATCTTAGTTTTTACTCGTGTTATAGTGTGCAAAGACGGACGGATGGACGGACAGACAGTCACCGATTAATCGATTTCTCTGTTCTCTGTGCGAAGTCGGTTAAAAACAGACCAATTTGCTCTATGACTCTTATTTTTTCGCGGTATACTTCTTCCGATGGAAACGCAAATATGTATGAATGTATTTAACATCTTTCGCAAGTTTATGTTTTTTTGTAACACTTCTGACTTTATCGTGCAAGTTTCGTATCATAAAGACTTTGAAGTCTAGATGGAACCGTTCTTCCAGATAGAGGGTGAGTATTGGAAAAGATAGCGATATCATCGGCGATGATTTTTATAGAAATTACCAGAGAAAAACTAACGATATCATCGAATTAATGGAATCTACGATAGAAAATGTTTGGAAATTAATTTGGAGAACACTTTCCCCAGTCGAGGATTATACCCCAATTTTGATAACGACGCTATGACTCTTTAGTATAATTAAAATCGGCTCCAGCTATTAGCTGGGAATTATCATCAGCTGTCTGAAGACATAAATTCCACAAACCAGCATTTAATTCGATCTGCAACGAATAATGTTATGGTAAAAAGCATTTTCCATCATGTCTATAAGTTATCTTAAGTTGCGTTCCATATGCTTCACGATATTCACGATTTGCAGGAACAGTTGTTTCTCCATTAATAAACCTTATGGAAGGTGGTCACCTGGAACGACTTCCTGCAAAAACCTGCAAATCGTGATTGCATCTGGACAGGAATTTTGCTGTTATGAATATGCAGCTTTTACATTCCGTACATACAGAATGGCCGACATGCCGCTTCAACATAATATATTTTACCAAAAATTTCAACTTCTAAATTAAAAAAATGTGGCTATTAGGTACTTAATTATTATGCATGTCTGTGCATTCTTTTAGGAA